CTCTGGCCTCAGCCTCCCCATCCTAAGAGGCATGTTGAGAGCCTTTCCAGCTCTGACATCTGACCAATTAGCTCTGCTGATGGACAAAGCCAGGGCTCTGTAATACCCACCATCTCTGTCCAGGCCAACAAGCACAGTGTCTGGGCCCAGAACAGTCCACATGCAGAGCAAGGCTGCATGCAGCAGCATAGGGCAGTGTAAAGAGCCCTGGTCTGCTAACAAGGGAGCTGGCTTCTGTCCCAGTTCTAAACCTGAACTTTCCTGTGATCTCTGGCAAATCATAGTATTGCCCTGAACCTCACTTCCTTCCTCTCTAGCATGGGGATGAGCGATACTGTGGCACAGGGTGGTTCTGAGAGAGAAGAGGGGATAGATGTAACAACACTGAGAGGAAAATAAAACAAACATTCAGATTGCTGCAGCAATCAGTGTGACAACTCCACTTCCAAGGAAGACACGAATAGGGTGGAGGACACACCTTGGATGAAGGGGTGGGATGGCAAGAGGCCTCTCTGCTCCTGAGGAGCAGGGCACATCTGCCCTCCAGGACTTGGCCTCCTCTGTGGCCCAGTGTGGCCGCCACCTGACTTGGCTTCCACAAGAGCACAGCAGGAATATCGTGACACCAGAGGCCTGCGCCCTCCATTGGAGCAGAGGCTCATTCTGGAACCCAGGCCGAGCCCCAAAGACAGGCCCCAGTGAGAGGAGGACCCACCAGTCATGTGGGAGTCTGCACTAGGGGCAGCTCCTCTTGGGGGTGGGCAGCCAGCACTCTGGGGAACTGAGGTAGAGGTCTGGGCTAGGGGAGGCAGTCCACGTGCAGGCTGCGAGGTCCCGAGTGAGATGGCTGGGAAGGGAGACATTGGAAAAACAAACAGGGTGTTGCCTCAGGGTTCAGTCCAAAGTTTCAACTCAAACTCAGCTATCAGTCAGGGAAGGCAGGGAGCCTGTGATTAAGACACAGCATGGTCTTGAGAACCCAGCACCAGGTTTCCTGGCTCTGCCACCTACTCACAGGTAGGTACTCAACTTCAGAGTCTTGATTTCTTCATCTGAAAAACAGGGCTCATAATCATTTCTATCTCAGAGATCTGCTCCGATGAGATGATGGACATGGTCCCATCACTGCCCCCAAGTCCCAGGCCAGAGAAGGCCCAATGGCCCCAGAGCACAGCCACACAGCACACTCTGAGGCAGCCCCTCCGAAGCAGAGCTTGGTGCCCCGTCCCTGTCATCATTGGATCCAGGCTGAGCCTGGCTGGCAGGAGTCCCTAGAGGTGCTGAGGGAAGGCAGAGGGGAGGCTGAAGAGAGGCAGGAGCCCTCTGGAGCCCCACTGAACCTGCTTCTAGTCCCCTGTAAAATCTGTAAAAAACTTCCTTCCAGGGTCCCTGAATATGGATGTGAAGAGGATGTGGCTCACAGATGTGGCTGGGCCGTGCAGACGCAGGTTTCCTGCAACCTCAGCAGCAGGGTCCCTGAGGCAGGCTGCTGGTGTGGGGAGGCCAAGTTCCCCCTAAGCAGGTGCCCGAGGCATCCGTCTCAGGATCTGCCCTGAGTCCCCAAACACTTCTCCTAAAAACAGCCCACCTAGCTGAGTGTCAAGACAGAGGGGGACCAGTAGGCACCCTTGGTGGGCCTCTCCCTGCCTCCTCTCCCTGTCCACTTAGGACAGTTTGCCACCTCAGGCCTCCAGGAGCCAGGAGATGCGTGGAGTGGATGGGAGAGCTGAGCATGCTCAGAGGAGGCTGCCCTTTAGAGGACACTGCAGAGAAGAGATGAGGACACAGCCGGCTGCAGGCCTTGGTCCTGGTGCCAGGAAGGCCCAGCACTCCAGAAACAGCAAAGGGAAGTCAGCCTCTCCTGGGGAAGAAGAGGGGCAGCAAAAAGCCACAGGAGGTTAGAAGAGGCAGGGCCTCCTCAGACCATTTCAATCTGACCCCTCCACTTCACAGATACAAGGAATGATGCCCAGAGACAGGCAGGGACTTGGCCAAGGTCACACTGCAAAGTGGTGGCAGAGCCAGGATTCACACCCAGGACTCATACTCCAAAGACAGTCCTTGCTTGGAATACAGTACTACCCTTCATCCTACTCCCACCTTCTGGAACTCTTCTAGAGGCACCTCCCAGGCTCGGGTCCAGCCTGCACGGCCCCTTCTTAATGTCTGCACACACTGCCTTGGGGGGCACAGTGCAGCCCTCTACCTGCAACCAGCATGGGAAGGGAGAATCACACCAAGCCCTGTGCTTTCTCATTTTGCCTCAGTAATGCCACGAGGTAGGTACAGTTTCAATTCTTGGGGGAGAAACTGAGGCTCAGAGCCTAAAGAACTTGCCCAAATGGCACACAGCCAGCAAGCAACACAACTGGTATTCGATTCCAGGACTGCCTGATCCCTGAGGTCAAGCTCTGCCATCACGCCAGGTTTCTCGATAGGAAACGATATGTAACAGCTTCCTGCTGTCGCTCTCATCCTCAGGGCACAGGTGCCGGCCTCTGGCTCCAGTGGAGCTGTGCGCGGTGAGAGCCTGGCTGGAAGCCGGGAGCCCAACAGTGATGAGAAAGGTCCCAAGCAGGCTGAGTAAAGAAAGCCTCCATCGGCGCCTGCTTCCCCCTGGGCAGGACCCATTGTCATGTGAGCCTGCACATGGCACAAAGGCAGGGATGGCTGTGGCAGCAGGAGCTGGGGAAGCAGTCCCCGCAGGGCAGGACACAGAGGGCCTGGAACTCCAGCTGGAGTCCTTGCTCTTATCAACTCACTGGTCCTCATGAGACGGGGCTGTTGATGCTGACAGCACTCACAGAGGGCTCCTGAGTCCTCACAAGTACCTGGTGAGGGAGGCCCTATCATACCCACATCACAGATGAGGAGCCTGAGGGTCAGAGAGGTAGGTTGTCTGCCCAAGGCCTCTTAGCTGGAAAGCGGCAGGGCCAAACAGGACTCAAGCCCGGGAGGCTGACTCTGGAGCTGACAGGTACTCATCCTCCAGGGCGTTTCTGAGCTGGGTTCCTCATCTGAGCCACAGAGAGCATGATCTGGATAACTTTTTTCTCTATTCTCCAAAGGATGGACCTGACTACAACTGTCTCAGGATGTTCAAAGGAGGAGGCTGGGGGCCTCAGTATGGAATAACTAGTGCTGTTATCAGTGGAATGGAAAGAACACTGTCCCTAATGCCTGTCCCCACACTGCCCTAACTCTAGGCCTTGGGTTTGCTCCTCTGTGAGGGGAGAGGATGGGGTAACCTCAAAATAGCTTTCACCCTGGCATCCTAGGATTCAAGTTCCACCACTTTCTGGTGCGTGTGACCCTGGGTAAGCTAGTTAACCTCTCCAGACTGCAGGGCCCTCATTTATAAGTGGGGACACCTCCACCCACCTCACACACAGGGTCAGGTGAGGCCCACCGAGACAATGAAGGCAGAGGGCTGAACATGGAGTCACACGAGCAAAAGCTGGAGCATGAGGTGGTTGTGCCTATTCTTCGTGCAGAACTCCTGTGACACCATTCACTGCCATTAGAACACGTGTCACTCCACAACCTCACCCTGAAAGCAGATACCAGGGCTAAGAGCCCCTCCCCAAGCCCTACCCTGGACCAACAGGGCACTCCCAGGTGCAGCCTGCCCGGCTCCAGGATATCACCACAGGTGCTTTCATAATGAGCTGAGCTGTGGCTCCAAGACAAGCAGGAGTCAGAGCGCGGGGAGCCACATCTGCTGCCATGTGCCTGGCACCACATGCAGTAGCCAAATACCGAGGAAAGTGGGGCCCACCTGGCCTGGTACCGAGCAAATCTTATCTCACCACATTCTTCCCTGGGAGGAGCAGAGTAGTGAGGCAAAGGCCCAGCCCATGCTGGTCAGGGTTTTGTTTCCGGATTCTTGACCTCAGCCCAGGTGTAATCTCATAGGCCTGGGGGACCCCTCGACTCTCTTGCAGAAGCTGTGAGGGCGAAGGCTTAGGGGCTCTAAACACTGAGCTAGAAGACATCTGAGAGACTACGCAGATCCAGGCCTTCATCTGCCTGAGAGGACAGGGCAGGGGTGCTAGCTTGGCATCTTAGAGAGGAGGAAGTGAGCTCACAGAACCCCAGGTTTGGGGGTCCGGTTAGGACAGGGAAGGCACTGAGCCAAGACCAGGGCTGGATCTCGTTCCCATCCAAATTCCCACTCTTCTGCCCTACCTGTCTGCTTTTCTGCTCTCTTGGACCCGGGGAGGGTGAGTACAGATCACTTCCTAATCACTCCAGTGGTCTTAGCCAGGGACCAAGGAGGAGATCAGGTCTGGCAAATTTTCTGTAGTGCCTTCTCCCTAGCAGAGAGTCCCCATAGATAAGTGAGGGGTCAAGTTCTCATCCAGAGAGAGTGGGAATTGAAGAGGGAGGAGTGGGGCACCCTGGGAAGCTGTAGCTCCAACAACTCCCTTGGTTCTGGCTCCATCATTTGCTGGCTCTGTGACCTTCCCCAGGCCACTGTTTCCTCACGTGTAATATGATGGGCTGAGTTAGCCTCTCAGAGGCCTCCTCTAGCTCTGACAGCCTAGGATTTTATATAATAATCGGCACACATGCATCACTCTCCATTTTGCTTTGTATCTTCCCATACTTTGTTGCACTGAAACCTCATGACATCTTTCTGAGGCAAGTAACCTCCTACGTTAAAGGTGAACAAACCAAAGCTCAGGGCATTTAAACCCAAGAACATACCCAGATAGGGTACAACAGAGCCAAGGCTTGCACCCTGGGCTCCAGAAGCAAAACCCTGGGCTCCACGTAGAGGAACACTGAGGGCGGCCCGACCAGGCCAGGGTGGAAGACCTGAGTGACCAGTTCAGGAGCTCACCCTACCTGTCTCTCTCGAAGTTGCTTCTACGATGCAGATAAGGGGACTCTTTTAAAAGCTCAGATTTAATGACAAAAGTAAGCTGCAAGAGATATGGACAGCATGATCATTATGGTGAAACAATTTTTATTAAAAAGAACTTCACGGGGGGTTGGGGGGTGTAGCTCAGTGGTAGAGCCCATGCTTGGTATGCATGAGGTTCTGGGTTCAATCCCCAATGCCTCTGTTCATGGAAAATAAATAAATATTTAAAAATTTTTTAAACTGAAAAAAGAAATAAAAAGAACTTCACACAACTGTGGGGAAGAGTTTAGTCAGACACACTGAACGGTGGGGAGTAATCAGATCTGAGGAGCAAGGGAGTGAAAGGGATATGACTTGCATTTTTTTCTTAAGTACTTGTGTAGTATTTGTTGGTTTGTTGTTTTTTTTTTTTCCTTTTTACAAACAACAACAACAAAAATCTGGGGGGAAAATTTCTGAGCACCGGCTCTAAGTCAAAACTCAATGTTAAACTTTGATTATCTCATCTGATTTCCACGAAACCCCAGTGGAGTATAAGGATGTTCATAGCAGCTTTATGCATAATTGTCAAAAGAGGGAACTAACGCAAATGCCCATCCACAGGAGAATGAAGCAACTGTGGCTTATTCACACAAGGCAATGCCACATAGCTACAGAAAGAATATAACTCTGGAACATGTGACAATAGAGAGGAACCTCACAGAAATGCTGAGCAAAAGAAGCCAGACACAAGAGTACCTAACTGCAGGTATACGGAGTTGAAGAAAAGGTATAACCAAGTGACAAAGACAGATGTCAAAATGTTGGTTCCCTCAGGGGAGTACAGACTGGGAAGGACAGAGGGGACTCTAGGAGGGCACACAGATGTCCTATATCTCAATCTGGGTGGTTAACATGGATGTGAACATTTGCAAGTAATCACTGAGCTGTTCAATTTAAGATCAGTGCACTCTACTGCGGGTATGTATGTATATTATTCCTCAATTAAATAAATAGAGGGAGGAAAAGATTTTTAAAAAAAACATGCAGGGGAAAATTATTTCCAGAAAAAAAATGCTCACAGGTCAAGCACTTAGCCCAAGGTCATACACCTGGCAGGTAGTAGAGCTGGGATTCAAAGCCAGGTTTGTTGGACTCTGAAGATCTTAAGCCACCAGGCTATACTGACCCTTGACTGCCCTGAAGGATGCCTTGAGTCTCCTAATGGGCCCCTGTGTCGCTGCACAGGCAGCCTTGCCCATGGGTTCACGACCAGCTTGCTCCTCACTGTTAACCACTGGTCACTGTGGCTCAGTCCCCTGCTCACACCAAGTGGAGCCAGGTCCCTCAGGCTCAGCTCACTGAGAGCTGCTGTTTAACCAGTCAGGCAAGAAGGAAGCAGAGGCTCGGCCCACAAAAGCCCACAGAGCCCGCTGGGAGCTGGGACAGGAGGAGTGCTCTGTGCCAGGAGAGGGTGCCTGGTGCACACCTATCTGCCATGACAGGCCCTGGCTCACAATGGGAATTTCAGATGTGGAATGATAGCCGAGCAGCAGAGCTGGACCTGGGCTTGGCTCTGACACCTGGCCTAGCGCTCCAAATGCTAGGCTTCACTGACCCACTTTCTCCCATTAGGACCCCAGCTCCTGTTGACTCAGAAAAGCCGGACCCTGCAGGTCAATCTCACCCTTCTTCCCCACCAAGAGGAGAAGAACTTTGAGGAACTTGGCTTCCCTAGAGCCACCCACACTCTGCTTTAAATTCCCAGCCTGCCTAAGCTCCCCCTCCCCCTCCAAAGGGAGCCACCTCCTGCTGCTTGGCATGGAGTCCCCCTCTCCTGCAGCATCCTCTCCACTCTCCCCCCAACTCCTACACAATCCTGCTCCTGAACAATTTCCTGCAGCATCCCATCTGATCAATTTCTTAGGAAGGATAATTATCCATAGAGAGAGGAGGCGGAAAATTCCCAGAGCCAAGAATATTAGGAAAAACTTCATCTAGTTCATTCTCCACCTGCCAGGAGAGCCTTCTTCCTAAACACAGTCATGGCCACGCCTCCCTCCCGAACCTCTGCAGTTCCCGCCACTACAGGAGAGTCCACCTTACTCTGCAGTGAATCAGAAGCCTTCCTGATCTGTCCCAACTTCGGTTCAGGCCTCATCACTGCTCCATTCTAAGTGGCAGTGCCAGAACTGAGATCGTCTGCCACCAGGGCCCACGCTGCATTGTGCTGCCTCCCTGTGTCACTTCAGCCTGCCTCGTATTTAAGCTGTTTACATGTCTATCTCCCACACAAAACTGTCAGCACTGCAAGGGTGGGAACCACCTCCCACACAGCCGTGCGGATACGCAGTAGGTGCTCAGAGGCAAGTTGAAGAGGAGGTGAGATGCCTGGGACCACCACCTCGCCCCTGCAGAAGGAACAGGGCACTGTCCCGGAGGGAACAGTGCAGGAGAGAAGAACCACTTACGCCACCACAGAAGAGCTCTGGACTGGGGGTTGGAAGGCCTGAACCAACCCCAGCTCTGCCACCACCCACCGTGGCCTGTGGGCAAGTCACTTCCGCTCTGGCCTCTGCTTCCTCCTCTGTGAGATGAGGGCCAGGCTCTGTCACTGCTGGCCAAGCCCTCACTGCTAGATGCCCTCCACAGCTTTATCACTGAAACTCCACACTCTGCACGTCAGTCACCGCACAGCTGTAAGAGCAGGAGCCAGGATTGGAGTCCAGGCCTTTTAGTCCCCAACCCCCTTATCTTTTTCCATTACACCTCCTGGTCCTAACTCTGTCTCTAGGCTCCCTCCCAATAATAAAGTCTGACTCTCTGATTCCAGACCTGCCCCTCTGGGCCTGATAACTCCCCAGGCCACGTGAGACCACAAGGTTCAGCCAGGAGCAGGCATGTCAGGGCCCTCCCACATGACAGGTCTGGTGACATCCTGCCTGCGGGCGCTGGGCTGGGCAGGGGAGGCGGCAGGAGTGGAGCAGAACCTGGCACCTCACTCAGCCCCTCCCCTCCCCACACGCTCTCACCCTCTCCTGCTCTGCTCCGCTCCCTGTCCACTTCTTTCTGGACACGGCCCTCCATCTCACTTCTGGCCCAGCCAGGGGTACCTGTTTGGAAGTTTGGCTCTTGTTCTTTCACACTTCCTGGTCAAGTAGCTGTGGGCCAGGGACCTGCTTTGCTAAGCTTGCTGCAGCCAACCCAAAGATGGAACCAATGCTGGGAGTCACCTCTGGCCCCCTAGGCTGCTCTGTACATCCCTCACTATGTCAGACCACAGCGCCCTGCTCAGTGGCACTGCATAGCACCAGGTCCAATCCTGAGCCTAACCCAAGGCCCCCAAGCAGTAAATGGTTTGACTCCTACCTTCCTCTCTGTCCTCACACCATGCCTCCCTCTTACTCCACTCCAGTTTCCTCAAACACACTCTCCTTAGGGACCCTGATCTTTGAAAGGCAGGCTCCTTCTTATCATTTGCTCAGCTCAAAAGCCATCTCCTTGGAAAGGCTTTCACTGGCCATCCAAAGTAGCACGTCTTTCTCATATTTATCTTCTTCAGGACACTTACACAGCTTGACATTGTGTCCACTGTCCAACATCCCACACTGGCCTGGGAGCCCCTGACATCAGGAACCTCCTCTTCTTGCTCCTGGCTGTGTCCTCAGCACACAGTGTCTGACATGGGTGGGATGGGGTGGGTTGTGCTACACATTAGACCAGGTGGCCAGAGAGGCCTCTGAGGAGATGGCATCTGATCCAGAGCCTGAATGAGGCAGTCGGCCTGCGGCGGTCTCCAGGCAGCCTTCCAGGCTCTGGGTTCTGTATGGAGGAACAGGCCTGGCAAGGTTTGGTGTTTGAGGAACCCAGGGAAGCTGGTGTGAGTGGAGTAGAGGAAAGAGCAGTGGGGAGTGAAGGAGAGAGAGGTATAGGGCATACATTTCCTGGATTTTTACCCCAAGTTCATCAGGAAGCAATTTAAAGGTTTTAGCAGGAGAACACCACGTTCTGGGTTACATTTCTAAACCATTCCTCTGGCTGCTTTATGGAGAGCTGATTACAGGCAGAGGGGAGTGGGACCAGGAGATCATGCTGGAGGCCTTTGGAGTCACCCAGGTTAGAGATGCTCATGGCTTGGGCAGCGAGAGCAGAAGTGGAAATGGAGGGAAGGGGCAGGCATTCAATCCATGGAGCCATGCTTTCCAGCAGCCCAAGAGGCCTGGTCGAGTTTACATCCCTCTGCCTGGAGTTCTAGATGCTCAGGAATCCAGCCCAGCTCACCTACTCAATCCTATTTCTCACTGACCCAGCCCAGACTTCCCCCAGGCTGGCTGGGCCTCCTTCTCAGGTGCCCACCCATACACTGGCTGCTCAGAGCCTGAGCTGTGTGGCGACCCTCGCCTGAACTTCTACCTCCCCCGCCACTTCCCCTCCCTATCTGAGGGTCTGGTGAAGGTCCCTGCATAAAGGCCCCTGTTCCCTGCTCATTCCAGCCACATTCCTCCCCTCCCTGAAGTCCTTCTGGGCTTTGGGTTTGAGGCAGCGGCCCAACAGTCATCAAGTACTTAATTATCCCTCTTTCACTTTCCCAAGGTAGCTGTAAGCTGGATAAAGGCAGACACCACAGCTCGCACCCTTCGGGGTTGTCAGGACACTCAGACAATGATGTGCCACAGAGAGCCCCCACCACCAGGCCAGGCTGCCAGTAGGTCTCAATCCTCAATCAATGGTAGCTCCCTCCTCACCACTTATCTACGAGGGCACCCATCCCTGGTGCTCACTGCCCTACAGGGAGGCTCAGTCTCTCTGCCCAGCCAGGCAGGTGGGTTAAGTATGTGTGGGGGTGAGGTGGGGGTGAGGTGGGGGTGACGAATGCCCCAGTAAGTTCCCAAAGCAAAGGTCAATGGCTCTGCATTATCTATGGCTTTGCATTATCCACAGGTCTGCCTTTCTCCAGCTCCTCCTTCCATGTGAGATGAGCAAACTCCTCATAACTTTCAAGGTCTCGGAAATCTTCCTAATCCACCCCCAGCCCCACTCCTCCCATGCCCCTACAGCCCATGGGCCCCTGCTGTGTGTGGCACTTCACACAGGCACATCACAAGTGCCTATTTACAGCCAGCCTCTTCTGGGAGGCTGGCATTATGTTTATTCATCATTCCATCTTCAGCATAGCATTTATCAGGCACGAATCAGTGTTTACTGAGTATGCGTCTCCCCCTT